TAGAAGCTTGGCCTCTCAGCCCCACTCCTTGTAGTTTGGACGTGAGACTGGGCAGGAAGGGAAGTAAGGATCTATCATGCCTATGTGACGAAGTCTCCATGAACCATGGGGTTGGTTGGCAGAGGTTCAGGTTATGGGACATACTTACGTGCTGGGAGGGCCGCACACCCCTACTCCACAGGGAGAGCTCCTGTCCTCTGGAACCTTTCCCTGTATCTCACTGTATGCATCTCTTCCATCTGGCTATTCACCTGTATTCTTTGCAGTGTCCTTCATAATAAGTGCACACACGTAAATAAAGTACGTACCTGAGTTCTGTCACCATCCTATCAAATTAATCAAACCTAAGAAGAGTTCATGGGAATCCCAATTTATAGCTGGCAGATCAGAAGTATAGGGAACAATGTAGTACTCGGAACTGGCATTTGGGGTAGGGTCAGACCTGTGAGACAGAATCCTTAAGCTATAGAATCTGATACCATATCTGGGAAGACAGGGTCAGAATTGCAATGAATTAGAGGACACCCAGCTGGTGCCTACTAGAGAACTGCTTGACTTTGGGTGGGAAGAAACCCCATACATTTCGGTTAACTAATGGTGAAGAGTTCTGTGTTACATCGAATACAGGAGAGTAAGAAAAGAAAAGCCATCTTGATTTTGCCTATTGAACAGAAATCAATTAAGGAATCTTAAAAAAATGCCTAAATACCCTAAATATTTTGAATTTATGCCATTAGGATACCAATGCATGATTACAGTTCTTATAAAATTCTCATTCATAATACATTATACACTGTTACAGTTTTAGTGCTCCTAAATTAGGGATGGAAATTTGGACATTTATAAAATTATGAGAGTTCAGGATCCTTTAAGTTTTTTTTTTTTTTTCAAACTTGTCTATTTCTTCCCCTTTTGGGGAAAAATCTATTGAAAATTAAATCTAATAGCTAGCATAAATCCTATTAACAGGACTTAGGAGAAACATTGAAATAGCTCTCCATAGTCAACCGGACCCTTGGGGCTAGGGCTCCTTGGGCATGGGGAAAGTTTCTAATCAGGCACTGCAGTTTATTGTGGGCACCGCTCAGTAGGTTTACCGCCTGAGTGCACAGCACAGAGCAAACTTCACTGTGTGGCGAAATTTCCTAGATGGCTTGGCGAAACTCAAATCGCTATGTGCCATGATCTGATAGGGAAGAATTAGATTGGGACCTTCAGAATCTGCATTTAAAACAAGTCCTCAGGCACTTCTGAGACTGCTGGTAGGAGCCACACTGGGAAGCCCTGACATAGACCCAGCCAGCAAGGAGGTGAACGGAAGTCAGTTACCCATAATGCTCTGTATAGTCTTTCTTCCATTGAGCAAGTAAACACTGCCAAGCAGAACAAAGCATGGATTGCTGTCCTATGCCTTTCTCCATGCTATACAGTCAGCCCTCCATATTCATGGGTTCTACATTCAACCCACTGTGGACAGAAAATATTTGGAAATAAAACACTGCATCTAGACTGAGAATATACAGACTTTGTGTTTTGGTCATTGTTCCCTAAAGAATACGGTGTGACAACTGTTGACTTTTGCATTACGTTAGATATTCCGAGAAATTCAGAAGTGACTTAAAATTCAGTTATATGTAAATACTTCACCATTGTATACAAAGGGCTGGAGCCTCCTTGGGTCTTGATATTTGTAGAGTATCCAAGAACCAGTCCTTCCTGGATACCAAGGGATGACTGCATTGTGTTTGATTTAGGAGTTGAATTGTATTAACACAGAAAGAAAATTTATGTGTTACTTACTAGAGATTACTAGAAATTGAATTACTGCTTTCAAATCAATGTTTGAAATGACTGTAATTTGTGCTTAAATAACAAATCACTTGATTTTTTTATGACTGTACTTTTGTTTGTGAATGATGAGGAAAATTTCAGAGCTTTAATTGTGAGCCTTTCTCTGCCAATAATACTTGGAAAGTGTGACTAGTCTTAATTCTCAATTGATGAAAAGTCAACTCAGACATGAGACAGTAGTCATTCTTTTTCTTTTGACTAATAGTACTGGGGATTGAACCCAGGGCCCTGACTATGCCAAGCAAGCACTCTACCACCAAGCTTCATCTTATTTTATTTTGAAACAGGCTGTCACTAAATTGGCCAGGCTGTCCTTAGACTTGTAATGTTACAGGTTCACACCTCTATGCCCACACTCTTTTTCCCTTCTTTCTCCTGTGTGTCTTTGATGCATATCTGAGACCTCAGTGTCCTGAATAAAAATCAGCAGGAGATGAATTCAACTTTCTGAACAGGAGTAGTGGCTGGGGTGGAGTTATAAAACTGGCTGCATTATTTTTGAATACTGGGGTTTGAACCCAGAACTTAACCCTGAATTGTTATCTTCAGCCCTTTTTTATTTTTAATTTTGAGATAAGGTCACTCTAAATTGCCCAATCTAGGCTTGAACTTGCAATCTTCCTGCCTCAGCCTCCCAGAGTGATACGATTATAGGCATTTGTTCTTTTAAGTAGTCACAGGCTTTCACAGAGAGCAGTAACAGAGTAAAACAGGTAGAGTAGATGCTGAGTAAAGCAGTGATAACGTCTATACTCCAAGGTGTTTAGACTACTCTGCTTTGCAGGGAAAACATTCACTTTATTTTCTTTATTTCTAGATTTAAAACTGAAAAGGAAACATGAGATATGACTATCTTCAACCACGGAAACCCCTAGAAATACAGAAGGGGAACGAAACAATGTTGTGATATTGTTATATCATTGAGGTGCTCGTTAAGAATAATACTATAGGGCTGGGGATTTAGCTCAGTGGTGCGTGCCACCACCTGCCTCACATGCGCAAGGTCTTGAGTTCAGCTCCCCCATACCGGGGGTGAGGTGGGGGAAAGATATTGTAGAAGTAGATTTGTCAACATGGAAATTGTTGAGTTAAAGAATGCCAAATACAAAGTACTTTAGGTAGGATGAGTCCATTTTATAAGGGAAAAGTTGAAGTACATGCAACAGAACTTCAGCAGTAGTTATCTTAAGGGAAAAGGAAGCATTGGATTCCTGGTGTTTTCGCTTCCTACGTTCATTAGTATTTTATGTTAATTATTACCCATGTGCAATAGTTACTTTTCTCTCCTTGCTGAGACGAAATACCCAACACCCAGAGTTGGAGGGGAAGGGGTTTATTTGGCTTACAGTTCGTAGAGGTTTCAGTCCGTACTTAGCCGGCTCCAGGGCGGGGATGGCAGAGCAGAGACAGTGAGGTGTGCACAAGGCAGCAAACGTCGCTAGAGAGCTCAACACCATCTTTCTGCCCCTTTCATCTTATTCAGACTTCTGGGATTAGGGCGGTGCCGAATGAATCACTCAGGTGTAGCGGGTTAGTAATCACACGCCCTTCACCCCAGCATCACCCATTCCAGATTCAGCCACCTCTGAAAAAGAAAGTCTCACCTCATCCGCATGAGGCTTTGGGGGACCTCTAAACACAAACCATAACACCATGTGATTAAAAAACCAAAGAGGCAGCTACTGTTTTGTGAAAGCAAGCACAAGTGATGCAGAGAGAGTATAACCAGCATCTCCCCTAGTTTATTTTAAAATAATGTCCTTTATTGGCCCACCTAGGACACAGTGTCACTGTTCCTATCTGAGAGTGTTGCGTATACAGATTATGTGACACAAAAGTGATCTATCTGCTGACACAATTTAGCAGTAGACATCTGTAGGATGCAGTATTTACTGTATAATTATTCCTCCAAATACTAGCTATTTACGGTAATGGAATAACAGAAACCAAAATAGGCACCATTGTAAATTACCGGTAGTCACTATAGCAACACTCTATGACACATTCTATTTTTGTCCCAGTGATTACAAAATCACTTTCACTACTAACCTAAAGGTCTTAAATGCTTTAACCTGAGTGTTTTAAATATGTGAAATATTTAAAATATAACTCTTGAATATTGCTTTATATATATTACTTTCAATATGAGCTGGCCGTAAATTTCTTCCTCCCAACCAAAGTTAGAGGATTATTAATATTAAAGTACCTCTATCAAAGTATTAGTATCAAAGGGTTGTGACTGGATTTTAGTGGGAATATTCTGGTGCTGTCCAATAGTTTATGGTTTACGAATGAGAAAGCAGGTGTGTTACTTCAATAGATAAAATGAGCATGACCTCAGAGGCTCTATTTTAGGAAGCTCAATTTTTCTTTTTGATTATTTTTCGATTTAAATCATCCTTTGAAAAGAAAGAAAAATAAACAGAAAAAAGAAAGAGGAAAAGAAAAGAAGGAAGGGAGAGAGGAAGAAAGGAAGGAAGAAAGAAAAGGAGGGAGGAAGGTAAAAGATCATAGGAAAAATAAAATATTTCTTATAAGACCTATGTAAATAATTATTATAATATTCTATAGCAAATAATAACAAGAAAAAAGTCCATACATGTTCAGTACAGTTATTATTCTTTTAACTTCTTTTTTGGTTTTTTGAGACAGGGTCTCACTCTGTAGTTGAGACTGACCTGGAACTCACTATGTAGCCCAGGCTGGTCTGGAACTCACAATGATCCTCCTGCCTCAGCCTCCCGAGTGCTGGGATTACAGGAGTATGTGCCACCATGCTCAGCTCTTTTAACATTTCAATCCACCATTGGTAGATTCCTTGAAGAACCCTCAGATACCAAAACCTTATGGTATATAGTTTTACCCAACCCACATGTTATTTAAGCCATATCAAGATGTAAGAGAGAGTATTTCAATATTTATGAAATTTAGAAATTTAATTTACAAATACTGTACATTTGTATTAACTATTCTTCATTATAATTAAAATATCATCTGCAGATACATGAATGATACTCAGATCTTCTAAGTTCTTTAGTGTAATTGTTTTAGCTGCTCTAATATTTCATAAGATTGGCATAAGCCACTGTGGGTACATTTTAGAGATACCCAATGAATGACAGAAGACATAATATTGTTCACAAGGGGTTTTATTTATCTACTGTCCTATATACATTGTGGTGTATTCTAGTTTATACAGTATTTTTAAATGTGTGATTTCATTTGATGCAACTCTGTGGTGGTGACTATCCCAAATTGATATAAGGTGACCGAGATGCAGAGAGTCTATCTGCCTTTCCAAAGTCACACTGCAAGAAGTGGACTCTGACTCAAATGTTTTGGTTCTGCAATAACTGCCTCCCCCATCACCATCATACCCATTGGCCCAGAAGTCTAAAATTCTAGAGGGAAGAGAGGAACACAAGGCATCATTTTCCAGGATGACAGACAGAGGAGACTATGAGAGACCTGGACAGGAAAACTGGGGGAAATGATTGAGTCGAGACATTAAAAAAAAAAAAAAAGCCTGAGAAGCCATAGGTTAAATAACAAGAAGGGCAAAGAGGAAAGAGGGAACAGCATGTGCAAAGGCCCAGAGACTACAGAGAGTGTGCTGAGTTTGAGGAGCTAGAAGACAGTCAGGCTGGGTGAACTGTAGAATTTGAGATCCTTACCTTCAAGAAGGAGTCCAGATTCCATCTTGACAAAGAGGATGGTGAGTAAGGGGTCTTCAACAAACCACAATTGTATAAAATTGAGAGAATTATTGTAATCCAATTGTGTGGTGGAGGATGAGGTAGGTAGTGACGGGAGACAAGTAGAAAAAAGGATGCAAGAGGTCTTCAGAATGTAGACCCCTAAGACCAATCATTAATTGGATGTGGATGGTAAGTGTGTATCAGGGGAAGCAAGTTAGAATTCCCATAATGAGGGCAGCAAACTTCTCAGGTCTGAGTGCTGATGGAGAAAAGAGGAACAGGTACCAGGGTGCACTCTCTCAGCCCCCTCACACCCTCCTACTGTGGCCCCAGTTGAAGTTCTCTTTCAATACAAAGAAAGCTCTACACTTTATATAATTCTGAGAACTGGATATTGCTTACTTAAATTATATGGATGAAGCTATAATTTGATCAACTCCAAGATATTGCTTTGTTCCTTGATAGCACAAAGATTTAAATCAAACAAAGCTAAATATATAGCACAAGAAGCAACCAGATTATTAAAATACGCAATACAAATCCATGTAATTCGTCATAAACAACCATCAGTGGACACAGCCAAAGGTGAGTAAGGACAAAGAGGGACTCATTTGGCACAAACATTTTCATGTTAGCTGGAAGGGACTCATAAATTACCCATGTCTAGGAATGTCTGAGGCCACCTTGAGGGAGATTACCCACCTTATAATATCTAAGCTGGTCAAACGTAACCCTTCTTTTCTTTTTCATTTTTGTGACCATTTAATTCACTCCATCAGGATGTAGCCCATGCTGCTCACTTTATCATTCTTAACTCACAGAGAAATCCCAATGGGTGAGGTCGAATGGGCGAAGAGCATAAGACACACTAGCAATGTGACAGTTGGGAAGTATGAGTACCTTTTTATGAAATTCACAAAAACTGGCTTATTAGAATATGTCATCTTCTCGATTGTAGAACACGTCTGACTCCACGACCTCAAAACTTTTGTAAGGGTAGCTTCTGTCCATCGGGGTCGCATCACTTCTACTCTTCCTCCTCTTCAGGGGTTCTCCAGCCTGCAGGCCAGACGGGGCAGACTCAGCAGAACTCTCAGTCCGAGGGCCTTTGGCAAACGGAACATCAGCTGCCCCCAGTTCAGTGGAGTCTGAACGACTAGTTGGGGGCAAAAGGCGTTCACTCCGTAGCCTTTTTCTTTTTTCTTCTTCTTTACTCTGGAAAGCAGTAGTAAAGAACGGAAAAGTAAAAAAGCCCAAGGAACTGTAAGTTCTCATTACTATTGCTTGACATGAAGATTTCTGGATTTTCTAGTTTATTATTCAGTCAGGTAACACACATTTGTTGAGGAGGCCCCACTGAAGAAAACAGTTTGGAGGGCCGACCCTCAGGGGGTTTTTAGTCTAGTAGTTTAGTTGCTGCCTCTGAGGCCAAGTAGAGAGAGGCGAAATGAAGCCAAGGGAGGAAAGCGGTGAACGCTGCTTCTTGGCAAAATGGTAGAGGGTCACGGGATATCGTTTACTGAAGTTGTATGGCTGAAACTGTCATTTTCAGTCAACTTTAAGGTACTGCTTCATTCCTCCACAGCACAAAGGTATTTTTAAAAAGGACAAACACTCAGCGTACAGCATAAGCAACGCACAGATCATCAAGCTGATGAATTTGTCTTAAAGTTAATGACAGGAAAGGTCTAACATGAGCTCCTACCAGCAAGCAGTGAATTCCTTAGATTTACGCCTGAGAGCTCGCTTACCTTTCGGCGCTCCTCCGCAGCCTGCATCTTTTCTTCTATGTGCTTCATTGTGAAATCCTTCACATTCTTCTTGATCTTCAGTTTCTTCAGTCTGGCTGGTGGCTTCCTCAGAGGCTTCTCAGTTGTGTCCACCTGGAAGAAGAAATCTTTTAAACTGGAGAAACAACTGTATCCATGGGTGGAAGAGAAAGTCAAGAGAGGTAGAATGAATGCAGTTTAAAATGTAAATCCTAAAAAAATCTAAACTTTCTAGCAGATTAAAGTAACCACAGCAAGTTGAAAGCTGGTAACAATGAAATTAATTCCTATAGATAAAATATATCAGCTAGCTTAAAAGTATCAGGTAATTACATAATAAAAAGTGTTTAGAATGCCAGGTGTTCTGACCTTGGATGGACGAGGACTCAGAAGAAGAAAAAACATCTTCAGAAGGAATGCAAGATGGAAAGGTGGCGAATGAGTGATGTTTGTAGTTCAAATAAAAAACAATAAGTTTAAAATTTTACTTTGATTGATTAATAATATTCAGTAACAAATAATTGATATTACAATATTTCACATGCTACAAATGACTTTCATTTAGGCAGAGATTAGTCTTCCCCACTTTTGATCTTGAGGTTGACAGAGATCATTGTTATGAAGCAATAACTCTTCTCTGGGCTTTGCTCTTGGTACATTACAGATATTTTCATGATAGTAGAAAAGTGTCATTTCATAGGACTGTCGTTTTGACAGTTCAAAGACATTATAATGACTTTCTAATGATAGTTTCTAGTCACAAAAGTTATTATAAAAGGTTTATGAGGAAAGTCTTAATTTACATGTTTTTAAAATTAGCTTTTAGAATGTACATCTATGATGAAGAAATAAAATGATGCATACATAATTCTCTGTTTAACAACTTGGCTACCAATCTTACTCCTCAGTATGAACATTTTAGAGTTTGTTGTGTATCTTTCCAGATAGTCTGGAATGCTAAACATCTGTAATGCTAAACACAACCTAAATGGGATAATATCACATGGTTCTGCAATTTGCTTTCTTTATTTTATTTAATATTGGCATCCTTCTAGTCATTATTCATAGATTTATTACAAGTAGGGGAAGATTTTAATGAACTACAAGTCTTCATTATAAAATGAACTCAATATTGTTCTAGATGATTTCTCTAAAGATATTTTTAAAGACAAAGGAGCTATTAATATTCATTTTAATTTCCAGAATACTCTGTCTTTGGACTATAATGTAGATACTGGGAAAATAAATCAAGCAAACAAAGAAAGGCAGTTTAGCAAAGAAGGGGAAAAAAATGATTGGGAATCAGACCAATCTGGGTTTCAATCCTTACTTTGATAGGGAGCAAGTGACTACCCATGAGTTGTTAAATTCTATGCCTTGGCTACCTCATTTTTAAAACAAGCTTAATGGTACTTACAAAAGTTTTTAAGGGAGGAGAAAGTGTCTGCTACCCACTCAGTAAGGGTAACTAGTTTTCATAGGTGAAACCAGTGACTTTTTCAATGACAGCCCACAAAATTAAAACCAGGATGCAAGGAAGGAGAACCAGAGGACATCTGAATGGAAACCAGAACCGGAAGTGGTTCTACCACTAGCATCCACTGTGTACCCAGAGACAGATACCACATTTTTAGGATTCGGTTTTCTTGACTGTCGCATAGTGGGAGAACAGGGGACTTCTAAGTTTTCTTGCAGCTTTAAAAAATCTGAGTCTGAAAAAGTCTTAAAAGGAGAATGTTTATTGATGTTTGGCTCTGTTACAGTCTTTAGATGGTTTTATGTGGTGTGAAATTTCTACTACGTGAAAATTAGATTACATTAAAGAAGTTCTCTGTCTCCCTCACTTTGTATTATTCTTATGACATTTGGCTTTTAAGCTTCTGGCTGGCAAAAGTCATTTGCTGAACAGAGGAACATACTTGTTATGGTGGCTTAAACAGATACTATGAAATTAGTATGAGAACTTTTTTTGAGGCTGTTCACTCATAGAGAGTTAAAAGAAAATTAAACAGTAATCCAAGATCAAATAGAGAAATCTTAGACTACACAGCATTCTGAGCCTTGACTAAATTATGAGATCATAGTAGCTCTGAGGGAAGTTTGGATTTTCAGGTTTGGGTAGACTCTTCCTGTGGCTTTATCTCAAAATGATACCTGTGAAATCATGTTCTTCCTCCCCTGGAGAAGTTAATGCTACCTGTACAGTTCTTGTCCTTTCTTGAGTTTGACATTTTATGGAAAAAATTCATAGACTTGTATAGATTTATCTGTATTCTTTACAGCTGAGTTCTATGAAGTCATGATTTGTCAAACATTGACACTTAAAAATGGTAATAATGATCACATTGTTCATGGAGATGCCACCAGTATAAATCAAACAACAACCACTTAAAGCCGAGAAGTTACCAGTACCATTATTTTATTTAAGAAAACCATCAGAGAACTACCAATTTCAAGATACTGCAAAAAGATTTATATCTTGCTGCTAGCCATAATTTATACAAATTAGCCAACCTAACATCTATAAATTATGTCTTATGTCCATAGTGTATTATTCAGAGATTTCCTAGTTAACTATTGACCTATGGGTGAACCTACCATGGTTTTGTCCTCTATGAGAGTCTTGTGGATAGACTAGACAAAAAATTCCTGCAAAAGATCTGATCATCCTTGTTCTTTCAAGCTCCTAGAAACAGGCAGATGTTCACTGTCACCATTAACTGGAATTGTTTAGTCCTACCTCATTCAACTTCCTCCTTAAAAAATTCCCATGAGATTCAACAAATAATGTGAGAGATTCTTGCACGATGTGAACAAACTGTTTAACTACCTAAAAATTACAAGGTACAGAATAAACTTTGACCAGACACAAGAGGAATTAGTAGAGAATTCACTGAACCTCATGCAAAGACTTAGAAGGTGCTAATCAGTAGGAAGAAACAAGTTTGGGGTAAAAAAAAAAACACCTAAACGACAGTATCTACATGGATAAATGAGAGTCTCTCACATCTCTCTAAAGATGTCTATACCAACCAATACACATATCAACACATGTTCATTATACTACTACTTATTTAAAATATAATATGGTCACTTTTAAGTTTCATTAGAATGTTTTATAATACTCTGAGTCATTTAATAATCTGATATTTAGCTTTCTGATATTGTATTTCTCACATAAAATTTTAACTCTTAAATAACTAGAAAATCTATTAATATAAAAATACTTAAAAATTGATGATCTAGACTCAGAGAGCACTATGGAACTGTTGTAGTACTCACCAGCAAGTGAGTGGGGGAAAAAATCAAGAAAAAAGTTGAAAGGAGCCCTGTTGTGGACACAGACAATCCCACAGACCTCTAGGAAGAGATTCTTCATGGGGTTGGTCCTAGTTTAGGAAAGGAATGGAGGACCTTCACTTTTCTGCATCCTTTACACTATTTCCATCTAAATGAAAACCCACCTGGGGATTTAGCTCAGTGGTTCTGCTGACTGCCTCACAAGTGCAAAGATCCCAGTTTGATCCCTGGTACAAAAAACCAAAACAAAACAAGACAAAAAACAAAAACCAATGGGAGAGAATTACCTGGCTAAGTAGGGGATAGATCTATGTCCAGTGTTTGCTTGTATTTAAGATGACTCTTGGGTTCATGTACAAAACCTTTTCTTAAAAAAAAAGTAATTTCATCTTTATTCTGCTTTTCCTATGATATTATATTTAAAATATATTTCCTTAGAGCAAAGAAAAAATAAAGTTTATATGGGATTGGATTCATCACATTGTAGTAACTGCTGACACTGGTATTCTTTTTTAACATCATCCTCTTTTGTGTCCTTGACTCTTTGGCTTTTCTATCAATTTTCTCTGTTTTTCCATAGAAATTAAGTATTAGATACTTCTTAGCATCAGCAGTCTAATATTTCTATATCTTGTTAAATTCTCCCTTAGTCCTTCCATATTTATTCTGTCTTTTTACATTGGTCTCATAACTTTTACCAATGTAGTTAAAGACCCCCTGTTTCTGACGGTTATGTTCTCAAATACAAATGAATAAAAAAGGCTTTATGACTCTGAGCAATTGTTTTTCTTCTGCACTTCTCAAATGAAGAATAAGGTGTAATCTCATTCTCTGTTCTCGAAATGTTTATTTTATAGAGAATATTTTAGAATTCTCTTTCACAAAGAATAAGGAATGGACTATGATTTCAAAAGGATTAGTCCTTCTCAGTTTGATAATTAATTTGAGAATTTTGTGTATAGATTTGTTGAAACTTCCAAGCTACTCCCTGGAAACACTTAGGGGGCTCGGTAAAGCACAAAAGCCAACACCATACCCACGCACAAGGCCAAGATGGAGTCTGAACACTGGGAGTTTTGAAATTTCCCCAAGTGACTCCAATGTACAGTCAGGTCAAGGACCATGGCATCAGGAAATAAAAAGAGCTATATGTTGCTGCTCTGGCCTGATGCAAATCGTGTTGAGAGATTCTGGCTCCATACCAAAGCCAATAAAAAAGAAAAAGGAAAAGGAATTGTGGCATTATTGTTAACTTGTCACATTTAAATCCCTTTGAGAATATCTCAACGGTGCTACTAATGACCATCTCATTTCTAGATAGTATGAAAAATCTTCACCTGTAGTTCACTTAATGATGTACTAAAGTCAAGCCCATAGCTGTCATTAGTAGACTTTTATTTTGCAGTGTAGCTCATGTTAAGTAGCCTATGAGCTCCTTGGCAAGGTGTAAATCGGAAGTCATTCAATTTTGGTAACTGGGTCTTCCCACTGACATTGGTGTCAAGGTGTCCACTGTACCTCCGGTAAGGAAGTACTGCTGAGTCCCTGAATGTCATGGGACCCATCCTCCTCACTTAGTCTGCTCTTCTGATTTTGGACACATCTATTTTTTTTTTCTGTTCCCCAGAGACTCACATACAGCTGGAAAACAAAATCCTTTCCCTCTTAATATTAAAGACCAGTGCTTCTAGTATTTTCAAATATGATCAGGTACCCCAAAATATCTTGGCTTGTGACAGTGTTGTACAAGTGTAAATTGTCATTATGATGATGGAGTTAGCCACTAACTGATCCATTTCACTATCTGATCCATTTTTTACCATTCCCTTTCTCCCATATCTTCTTATTACGGGCAGCCTGATGTATTCTTAAGGTTTGGCAATCTTCTTTTCTTTCCCCAAATACTTCCTCTAGGTCTTCTTTTTTGTTGTTCTTAAGAAAGAATGGATCTTAACTCCTTGACTATTTCCCCTGAAACACAGGGGTAATTAATAATTATAGAATTTCTGATGTGATTTCTTGTCTCTATCTCCCCCATTTCTGTTCCTCTTCTTTTCCTTTCATTTTCCCAAGGCTTTCTTACATTTTTTCCATTTCACCTTCTCTCTTCTGTTTATATTCTCAGAAATACTGGTGATACCTGGGAGCACTGACTTAAAGACAAACAATAAAACATGCTATCACCTTCACAACTTGGTATGAAACTTATTTTAAAGCTTTAGATCCCTAGACTTTGGCTAAACAAGTTAAAGTCGGAGTGAAAAATATTACACTATGAAAAAGCAATGACAGATTGATCAAGATGAATCAATAACAACAACAGCAACCAAACTGTATAATGATTTTTAGAGCTATATTATCTCCTCATTTTAGTTTCTGTGCATGTATAAACATATAAGCATATCTGTTGTAGCTTTGGCATTAAAGCCTGTTTTCTTCTTATTGGATAAATAAAAATTCAATTTTATATCTCAAAGGTTAATGCATAATAAAAAATGCTGAAAGAATGAGAGTATATTATTCAATGGGGCTTACTGTGTCCCAAATTTAGTAAAAGCCAAGATATGATTTATTGGATTCATTCATCATTAGTGATTAGAGCACTACTTGGATCCATAGAGAATGATGGAGTGTCAGGTGTGAAGGGATTTATGAAAGAAAAAAGTGGCTTAGATAAATGCTGTCATCTATACTGTAATTCCCATATGCTGGGAATAATGACTTATGATCAATCATATTCTGTTGTTAATTTTAATTATAAGCTAACGTTAATCACAAAATTACTTGCCATAACATCATATGATTCTCCATTTCTAAATACTTTGCTGTGGCTTTGTATTATTCCTTGAACAATTAATTCCTCTAGGATGTCTGATGACTTTTGTCGTTCTCGATTCTCTAGGGGTTGCAGTTTATTGATTAATCCATTGGTCACTGGGTCTTCCAAAGGAAAAGAAAGAAGAAAGAGAAAATTAAGAACAAAGATTTTTATCAGTCGCATGCCTTACAAATTATGCTACTCTCTTAAATCCTAGTCTTAATCTTAGTATCTGTTTCTATTATAAAACTTAGTAACTCTTTTAAGTTCAAATTATTACGGTTGTTACAGAGGAAGCACATCGATGTAATATATTCTTTACTTAGCAGGTCTCATGTTAACATAACCAAAGTCTTCAGCATGCTGTTACGTAGCACTTTTTTGTTGTAACAACGCACTTGGGGCGGTGACATGAGTTTGTCTGCTAATTATGAAGCTAACCTACAGCTAAGACTCAGACATTCTTGTGACTCCTATGAGTTGCAGTTTGGTTTCTATGCCTCCTATACAAAGAATAAACACGACAATGTTGCCAGGAGACGTCCAGTTCTGCAACCGTGAGTGTACAATTACACCATCTGCTCAATCTACAGAAGTAAAAGTATGCGTCTTTGAAAAGTCTTTGAGTTAAATCAGAATTAGGGTTCGAGGGGTATCAGCTAAATTTTTATTAGTGATCCTAAAAATGAGCACTGAAACATGAATAGGAGACCCTTTGTAAACTGTAGCCAACATCTTCAGGGCAAATCATCCAGTTTTATAAATTATCAAATAAGCAGTCACATGAATGTCATCACATGATAACATAAAGGGTGCTGGCTGGTTGGTCCAGAGGCAGCTTTGCTTTTCCTGTTCAAAATGATGTAATGTGGAGTCCTCAGAAATGAGCTCTCTTGTCTTTAGTGGATGGAGTCTTGTAGTAAAAAAGTCTAACTTCAAAGGTGACAAAGACACCTTCCCTGAATTTGTGCTAGGAAGGCAGACAGCACACCCACAGACACGCACACCCACAAGTCAGACACGTCTCACTTTGGAACATTAATCTACCTGTTACAAAAGATTTCTTTAACTAACCTCGGCAAATAATGCCAACAAATTCCTGCCATTGCAGATCTTTTCAAGACCGGCTCTTCTGCCCACACAAGTGTTTGAAACAGGAACAGTTCTCATTTTAAAGTGCTCCATGCAGACAGTAAAATATATCACCCAGGCAGGTGAACTAGGAACTCAAAACGGTGGAGAAAAATTTAACAAATGTCCTTCAATCTGCTTCAAGGAATTAGAATGATTTTTTTCTATTGTTAGAAGGTAGACTTTCTGGCAGGATCAAAATGATAACAATTACCATTTACCGAGCCCTTAAGGTACCTCCACCATACTAAGGACGTTATACACTGTATCACATCTAATTCAAACGTAACTCTGCCAGAGATACTATTATCTTGATTTTATCAACAAACACACTGAAGTCATGGAGGCTAATTAACTTGCTGGAGGAGACTTGTGCTGTGTGTCACCTAGGACCGAATGGGAGTCTGTCTGCTTCAGCCTCCATGGTCTCACCACCTCCCTGTTCTCCCAAACATGTCCCATAAATGGCTGCACCTTCGACCCCAGGGCCTCTCTCCTAGGAGTTGCTAAAAGGGATATCATGTTTGCCATCTGCCACTGATGTCTTGAAATTATTGTGGCTATTCTGACACATTATTCTAAGTCCACTAAAGTATTCGGGGCGAGAGGCACAGGAGCTGACCTATACAGAGATTCCTGGAACATCACCATCATTTAACTCACTGTCATGGGACACTGGAGTGTTTGGGGAAGTGCTTAAAAATAACGTTCTGCTTCTGTTTTTATTGTAAAAGTAACACATGATTACCACATTAAATTTAGAAAACATCGAAAAGAACAAAAAGTAAAATTAAACTGCCTATTTGCTCACTTCCTACAGATTATCAGTGTTAAATATAAAATTTTATTTAAAAACTTTAATTTATTTTAAAATTTGGCATCATAGCATAATCATAATTTTGTTTCCTACGCTTACCTTAGCTTTTTCTCTGTCATTAGAAATTCTGTATAACTATAAAAAGTGCAATTATACTAGACGATATGGATGAAATCATTAACCTTGGTACAGGGAGAAGCTTTTTGATTTTCTCAAAATCCAAATATAATAAAAGATGGATACATTTCACTGCACTAAAAATAAAAATAACTTTTATAAGCCAAACAAAGAGTCAAAGGTAAATTGTATAACTCATAATGTGAAATAGGAAGAAAAGGGCCAAAGGTGTAGGGGAAGTGGGAGGGGTACAGGACAGGAAATAAGGGAAAAGAAAAAATATGAGAAAGGGAAAAAACGGAAACAAGGTCTTTGTAACTAGGGAAGGGTGGAGGGGTGAAGGGAGGGTAGGGGTATGGGGGAAAAATGAGAACCAAGATCTGTCATGTAAGAGTACAAGATCCCAGTGATGAATATAACTGTATTGTATACCTAGAATATACCAATAAACTCAATGAGAATAAAAAAAGAGTCAAAGGTAGATATCCTGTACTTCCAAATGTATGTACTTAAAAAGTACAATATCATTTTTTTATATTCTTACCAAAATATATTTAATCTGAACCAAATCATTAAATCTCAGGCAAACCCAAATTGAGGGACATTCTACAAAATAAATGGCTTGTACTCTTCAAATATACCAAGGTCTTTAAAATCAAAGAAAAGCTGAGGGTTGTTTTGATTAAAGAAGAATAAAGGCCCATGGTAAAAGAATTAAGAATGTGATCCAGGAGCAGACTCTGTATCATAAATTTCCATATAAAGGTCTTTTGTGATATAACTGACAACATTTGAAAATGGTTTTATAAATGAGATAATAGTACTGCATCAGTGGTAAGTTCCCGATTTTGATCATTGTACATCAACTATGCAAAGAATATTCTTGTCTTTAAGAAATACGCAGTGGTTTATTTAGAAGTAAAATCCCATTACATGTATAACTAATTCTCATAAAAAGTATATACACTTGCAGATGAGGGTTTATGATCATGCAGTTGTGGTAACATGTTAACATTGCAGGAATCTGGATCAAAGAATATAGAACACTGGATTTTTTTTTCACCTTTGATTTTTTTCCTTGAATCTGATATTATTAAAAATAAAGTCTTTTCAAAAAGGAAATACAGATGGGCCTAGACTTAATGATGGTTTGCCTTAAAGTATTTTGGCTTTATCATGGTGTGGAAACCATATGCATCTTGTAGAAGCCACACATTCAGTTTTGGATTTGGATTCCACCCCTCCCCCACAAAATGGACCAATCTTCTGGATGCTGGGCAGTGTCAGTGACTACACCTCCCAGTCAGCTCTACAGTCAGAAGGGGAAATGACCAACACACTGTACAGCGTGTTGTGTGGATGAGGTACAGTAGGATATTCCATAAATTACATGTTGTCAATTCATTTTCAACTGAGGATATTTTTGATTGATGTTTACCAGGATCTATCTCCATCATAAGTAAATCAAGGACCATTTATACCTTGGAAATGTTAGTTAAAAAAAACATGGTTTTAATTGCTTCATCAGTAAGATTACTAATGATTAGCATCATTTACTCACATAGTGAAGGCCTAAGGTGAGATTCTGTTTTAAAGAAAAGAATCTTGCCATTTAAAGTACCCTCTGGTCCACAAAGCAGTGATAAAAAGCCACCAAATATATATTATATAAATATATACTTGGAGAAATTATATTTTGTGGAGATCAGTACGAACAGAAGTTTTTACCTGAATTTACTTTGTTATTTCTATTGGTAGGAGATGGAGGACTTTCTGGAATGGTTCCAGGTAAATTTCCCATCAGGACTTGTGGCTCCAGACGCTCTTCACTGTCCACACTGTCCTTGGGAGGTGCCCCTCCGGTCTCCCTCACAGGTGTCACCCTGACATCAGCCTGTAAAAAGGGACCAGTGTGGTGAAAATCCGGATTCCCCGGGGAATGAAAACAGTGCTGCAGGGTCTGCTCTGTAAGCATCTAGTGACTGTTAGGCTACAGAACACCCAGAAGCCCACAGATGTTATGTTGTATGGCAAATCTACCTAGCAGGTGCGACAGTCAATCTTTTCCAGGCGACAAGATTATCTGGAGCCATCCAGGTGCCCCAAGTGCAATCCTAAGTGTTAGAGAAGAGGAAAAGATGGTGTGAGGGTGGAAGCAGGGAAAGACTTGAAGATGCTGTGGCACTGGAGTTGAAGTAGAGAAAAGGACCACAAGCTGAGGAGCGTAAAGCAAACAGCTCTAGAAGCCAAAGAGGAAAGTGTTCACACCTTTGAGCCTCTGTACCGAGTTTAATTATTTTGGACTTCTGACTTCCAGAAGACATCTGTGTCGTCTTAAGCCACCAAGTTAGTGTTAAGTTTTAAAAGTAGGAGTAGGAAACGAATATAGTTCTACTAATTCATTTTAGCACCTGACAGGTGTCAGATTCAAGCTACTATCTTGAGATTCCTAGAGGATATCATGATAAATAAGCTCGTGGTCACCAAGTACAAAAGTAAAGGTATTATTGCATAAAAAGTATTTAAAAATAAGATTATATTGAGTTTACAGATTAAAATGTAAGAGATTCATTACAAAAGTAATTAAATAATATAGACGGAAACTGTGATGGTCAAGATAGTAGCCTGTTAGTCAGTCAAACATTAACCTAGGTGTTGCCAAGAAGCTGTTTTATATATGTGATTTTATATCTACAATCAATTTTGACTTTAAGTGTGCGAGATTATCCTTGATTACCTGACTAACTCTCAATCAATCAATTGAAAGGCTTCAAGGGCAGACCTGAGGTTCTCCCGCAGAAGAAGAAATTCTGCCTGAACTGTAGCTTTCTCCCCAGCCTATTCCTTCAGACCACATGCCCTATTCTACAGGTTTTGGACTTTCTTGGCCAGCACATGATTGCGCAAGCCATTTCCTTGTAATACATTAGTCTCTCTATCCATTCATCCATATATCCATCTCTCCATCTATCTATCCATCCGTAAATCTATCCATCTGGATCTGTTCCTTTGGTAGAATCCTAACTGGCATGGAAACATAGAAAACAAGAAGAAGGAAGTGCCACTCTTTAGATATAACCACCATCAACATCTTAGTTATTACCTCCTAAATGTATTTGTTCATAAAAAAATTTTTAAAAGTAAGTTGAAATTGGCCAAGAATCCTGTGGAAAGATGTTCAGCATCATTAGATATTAAGTAAATAAGAAATGAAAACCATAATGAGTTGCCTCACATGCACCAGGATGATTACAAGGAGAATGCACACACACACACACACACACACACACACACACACGTGTTGGTGAGGGTATGGGGAAACTGGATTCCTCATGAACCATTGCTGTGGGAATACAAGGTGGTACAGCTACTTTGGAAAATAATTTTAGAGTTCCTTAAAAAAGTTAACCATAGTAACCACATGCCTTGGAAATTCAGTCCCAGGTATATACCAAACAAAATGATATTATATTTTCACCCCAAAACTTGAACCTAAACGTTCATAATCATTCATAATATTAAAAAGTGGAAACAACTGAAATGTCCATTAATTGATGAGTAGGTGAATGAAATATGATATAATCATATAAAGGAATATTATTTGAAAATAAAAAAGTTAAAATACATGTACAACATAGACAACTATGTTAAGTGAGAGAAGCCAGTCATAAAGATCATTCATGCTCACAACGGGTAAATTTATAGAAGCAGGTGGGGAGAAAGGAACCTCTTTCCATTGTTGGTGGGAGTGCAGACTGGTGCAACCGCTGTGGAAATCAATATGGAGATACCTCAGAGAACTAGGATTAGAGGTCCCATTTGACCCAGCTATCCCTCTGCTGGGTATCTTTCCAAAAGAATGAAAAGAATCATACCACAGTGATATATGCGCACTCATGTTTATAGTGGCACAGTTCGTAATAGCTAAAACTTGGAAACAACCCAAATGCCCATCAAGTGGAGACTGGATAAAGAAGATGTGGTTTTTCTGTAAAATGGGGTATTAAGTGATAAAGAATGAGAAACTAGAGACATTTATAGCTAAATGGATGCACATTGAGGCTATATTCTTAAGTGAAATAAATAGGACACACTTGAGTAAATACCAAACAGTTTCTCTGGTGTGAAAAATTAAAAGCATAAATAAGGTTCAAATAGTATAATTGAGAGTGTGAAATAGGAAGAAAATGGCTAAAAGGGAAGTGGGAATGGTAGGGGAAAGGAAATAAGGGAAGAGAAAAATTGTGAAAAAAAGGAAAAAATAGAAACAAAGTCTTTGTAAATAGGGAAGGGTGAAGCGGGTGAAGAGAGGGCAGGGGAAAGGGGAAAAATCAAGAACCAAGATATATCATGTAAAGGTACAAGATCCCAATGATAAATGTAACTATTATTTGCTTTAAATGTACCAATAAACTTAATGGGAAAAATTTTATTGAAGCAGGAATAAATTTAGTGGCTGAGTGAGTCTAATAGAAGGGGAGTTGATGAAAATAAGGATGGCTTATTTTTTTAGAGGGAGCAAAAAAAATTCTAAAATTAGATTGAGATGGTGGCTGTCAACTACATGTTTTTTGTTTTTTGGGTTTTTTTTGGGGGGGTTACTGGGCATTGAACTCAGGACTTTGTGCTTGTAAGGGAGGCAACGGCACCACTGAGCTAAATCCCTGACCCACTTGCATGTTTTAAACAGGTTAATTGTGTTGTGTATGCATTGTATTTCATCAATTTACTTGCTTTAAAAAATAAAATAGATCAGGGCTGGGGATTTTAGCTTAGTGGTTCTGGGGTCTGCCTCGCAAGTGGAAGGACCCAAGTTCAATCCCTAGTACCAATAAATAAATAATATAGATCAGATCATATATTAAACATTATATTTCAGAAATACTTCTTTCTCCACTAACAACATATTATAAACAATTGCCTATTGTATCAGATTTAGATCTGTCTCATTCTATCTAATGTTAAGGAGAAGTTTATTCAACAATTTCATTGTAGGGGCCAGGGATTTTGCTCATTGGCTCCATACCTGCCTTGCAAGTGGGAGTTTGATCCCCAGTACCGGAAAAAACAAACAAATAATTTCATTGTAGTTCATTTTGTAATACTACCATAATTCATTTAACCCATTACTAAGTTATTTCAAACTTTTCAATATTATAAACGGTCCTGAGATAATAATATTTGTGCATGCACTTCTGTGTGGACCCGTCTACTGGTTCCATGAGAAGAATTCCTAGGTGTATGTGGATATACTGACTCAAAGGCTATGTACATAATTGAGAGTGTGAAATAGGAAGAAAATGGCTAAAGGGGAAGTGGGAAAGGGAGGGGAAAGGAAATAAGGGAAAATGGGCAGGGGAAAGGGGAAAAAATGAGAACCAAGATATATCATGTAAAGGTACAAGATCCCAATGATGAACATAACTGTATTGTTTGCTTTAAATGTACCAATAAACTTAATGGGAAAAAAGGCTATGTACATTTTCTAACACTACTCTGTGTTCTCAGAGGGCTCTGCATAAATACAGCACCATTTAAAAAGTTCATATTATCTTTTCAAAGGTCTTTACTTCTTCAGGCTGACGTTTCATTGATTATAAACCTAGCCTGTGACACAGTAAATCACTGACATCTCAGAACTACTCCATGTGAAACTTTACAAAACTAAGGAAGAAAAGTAAAAATGTAATGAGTTTCACCAACTTGCTTCAGTGTAAGGCACTGTCATTTATTTGGAGAAGTAGATTTTAGATATGAATCCGTTCATATGCTCCTACCATGTCCCTCTCTCCCAGGGTCGGCCCTCGGTCACTGCACGGATTTCAGTTTTCCCACCTCTCATTTCAATGGACGTTATCACATTTTCCTCCATCTATGACACACGCACCGCAAGAAGCTTCCTCAGTATCCTCAGAAAAGATAAGAACATAAGCATCGTCATCTGTGCTCTGTCTTTGAAGGGCCTCGGCAGTCCACTGTCACCCTCTGTCATACCATCTCACTGTCCTGGGATAGAAGTTTGTACTTTGTGGGAATAGCAAAAGGTTCTATAGGGTAGAGAATCTTGAATGAGGTCTTGATAAGTCAGTTTCCCATGGTCAAGGAGGGAGGGTTTCCAGACAGAGGGGAAAGCGCGCAGGCAGCTGTATGAGACCATGTTATGAGCCAGGAACTTGAATGATTCCAGTGCTGGGGAGACAGATTGAAGAAGACAGCTGAGATGGGAACAGGAAGTCTTTTGTTACAAGTAAAAGGGATGGATTATTTTGAATTGAACAGGAATTTTTTTCTTTGAAGAATTTTTACCCACAGAAATGAAATAAAATCACTATGCATGTTGTTAAGAAAGATTACTTGTGGGTTATGTGCAAATTATGGGGGTAGAAGGAATAAAAGACGAAATGGAACGGGTTAGCCAGTGAGTATTATTGCCGTGGCCCAGGATGAACTAGCACCTTCGCAGTGAAAACGAGGGAGGAAGGTGGGTCCTGAAACACGGGGAGGAATGATAAGGGACATGCAGAGGTTCAGTGTGAAGAAAGAAGGTCCCTTCTGGATTTGAAATTGTGATTAAAAATTAGAGATCGCCGGGGATTTAGCTCAGTGGTTCGGTGGCCTGCTTAGCAAACACAAGGACCCGAGTTTGATCCCCGGTACCAAAAAAACAAAAAACAAAAAACAAACAAACAAAAAATTAGCGATCAGAAACTCAAATAATTGCACACAGTTTAAAAATATAAGCGCATTTGGCCGCTCTCTAGAATTGTGTCCCAGGGACAGGAGAGGACAGGAAAGACACACTTCAAAGTGCCAAGTTCCTTGGAGGCCAAATAGAAGTTGCTTTGGACGGGTGCTGGTCATGATCAGGATCTCACCATTGGATTAGGGCTCTGT